TCTACAAGGCAGGCACTAGTAGTAGTATACCAACTGGGTGATAAAACTGAAGCTCAGATTAAATAACTTTCACTCAACTAATTATGGGAGAAGCTGGACTTTGAGCTCAGGCAGCCCAGTTCCTGATTCTGTATCTCAACTCAAAGCTGAGCTGCTCAGTCGAGGTGAATGGCCTCTGGGAGGCTGAGCAGACAGAAAAAAAGAGAAAACTTTGCTTGCCAAATCAATCGCTGCAGACCAAGGGCACAGCCGTTGCCCCTGGTATCAGAAGGCTGCAGGCTATGCCATGATCCTGTCGCCACAAAACCAGAAATGAGTGAACAGCCTTTGGCACATGCCGGCCAAACAGGCCTACGAAAGTTAAACAACCTTGGGTATTCTTTAGTTGTTACCACTAACAGACACTTGTAGCTGGACTTGTCCTTCACCAAGCTAATTACTCTCTGATTCCATATAGATTACACCCTGCACCTGGCATTCTTCTCCCCCCGCCATATATTCTCTTGTAGCATCCTGCATTTCAGAAAGAAGGTCACAGGCCGATAACTTCAGGGACACCAGACCCAGCTACTGAGTTGCCTGATGGCAGCTGTAGTCACTCTGAAACTTTGCAAGAGAAAAAAAAGAGATGCAAGACCTTCGAGAGGATATAAATCCTCTCTCTACTCCCAAGAGAGGGGGACACTGCTCTTCAGGTGCTGGCCTGCTACACATCCCTTTTTCCTGGAAAAAATAATAAAGCTACTTTTTTTCAATTTCCCCCAAACTCTGTCTCCATGTTTCCATTCGGCATTGGTGGACAGGGAGCCCAGACTTTGGCAACGGTCCTTGTGGCCCCATGCTCCCGTTGTACAAGACAGGGAGTGGTCAGGTGCAGAGGATCACTCACTGATGTCTCCCGGGTCTTTGTCAGGGAAGGAATGCTGACCTTTACTGCAGGGGGAAGGCCTTGCTGCTATCACAGCCCTTAATCCCCAGATCAGGGAGCTGAGGTGGGGACTGTATGGGTTTCTGAGGATATCCACCCTAACCCTTTTCTAAGCAGATGCCTGCAGGGTGAGCCAAAGTTCAGCTGGGCTTGTGTGACACCCCCTCCCTCTCCTGGCCTTTGCTGGACCACATGGCACTGGGATTAGAGTCCACTCAGACGCCCCGTAATCCCCGAAGGCTTTGGTGCTTCTGAAACTGCTAGATGGCATTTGCAGGGGCTCCACGGAGCTCTGGCTCTTTATGTCTCAGCGCAGAAATACCACTGCATGATTCCAAAGCTCGGGTCCTAAGACCTGTGTGGGCCTGCCTAAGAACAACCCAGAGTGCTGGGATTAAATGTCTGGGATCCTCGCTCCAGCCCTGGAGATCCTATCGTGATGGACCTGGCTTTAGTCCCAGCGTTCTATGGGTCTGTTTGTTCTGGGTGATTCTCACCCAGGTTCATTACACGGAGTGTGGGCTGAGCTAGCGCAGACTTTGGTCACCAGCCCTCACCCTTCTGGCTCCAAGTCAAGCAGAACTGCAGTGGCTGCCAACTCACTCCATTCCTGGAAACCCCGAGGCTTATAAACAAAGGTCACGCCCCGCACGTGACCTTGGAGGTTCTCAGGAGCGGACAGCAAGCACCCCCACTTGATTTCTCTGCTCTTCGCATTCCCAGTGTTATCTGCACACTGATTTTTTTTCAAAGCAACCCAAAGGCCCTCATCAAGGCCTTGCTCTAGGTGTTCCATCAGAGAGGGCGGTCCTGCAGCCTGCAGAAACAGACACCTTCATCCTCTCCATTGAGAAGCTGGGCCAATGGGTGTCCCTACCATAGACTGGAATGTGCCAGGTCTCAGGACGTTGAGGTCGGGATCAGTCACGGAAGATCGTTGGGAAGCCTGGCCTCACAAGAGCATCCAGTTGTCAAGGTCCCTTAGTTCTCTGCCCTTTGGATTTCCCCAGCAAAACCTGGATGTTGCGGTTACACATCCTTCAGTGACATTTCATCCAGGCTCTGGTACTGCCTGGAAAATCTTCCCTGTTCGCTATAACCGCTACACCCTCTAACATCAGTACAGCGCATTGCACCCCCAAGGACAGCATAACCTGATCTGAGGTCTCCATCCTTTGGGCAGCACCGCCCTCTGCTGGCCAGCCTCTGTGCATGCAGCTGAACTAAGCTTTGCCACTAGGCGCGTGCTGGGGTGTCCCACCCTCGCCCAGTGCCCATCTTCAGGGATCTTTTGGTTCATGTAGTTACTAACTGTATCAGAGGCAGTCATTTACTGATTCCCATCCCACTTGGCAAGGGAAGGGGGGTGGGGGTCAACTTCCTGCTTGAAACAAACAACAAGCCGGTCCACACCCAGCACTAGGAGACTCGACCAACCTGGCTTGGGTTCTGGCCGCCTAAGCCGCATCCCTGGGACAACCTGGACACGTCGGGTTCCTGTCTGACCAAGCTCTGGGCCATCAGAAGAATGTACTGTTAGAATGTGCTGTCTGTTCTAGCCAGTGCCCGACCCTGGGCCTCTGACCCCTGCCCCTCCACCCTTTCTTAGCGCATTCATGGTTGTGGATCCTCCTCAGTCCCTCTGGGAGAGAGATGTATCTCCTGCAGCCCAGGGGCGGCTCTTAAAAACCCTTCTGAGATGAAATCAGGAAGGCTTGGGCCTGTGGCCCGGTCTCTGTGGCCTGGCCGCGCTTGTGCCTGCCAACCTTTTGTGACTTTTCACTCCCGGCTCTGCTTGGGCCCTGTCCACCCCTCCCCTCTGCCTTCACCTTCCCGCCAAAATGCCCAGACCCCGCAGAGTTCTCATTTCCCTGTCAGTTGTTACAGAATAAAACGTGGTTTCACGGCTTTAACTGATGTCTGATGATGTTTATTTCTGACAAAACCTGCTCGCCCTGTGGTCCCCCCTCCTCCCTGCACTGAGGTGGGGTGAGAGCTTTGAGAGCAGCAGCATCCACACACAGTGGGCACAGACCCTGGGACAGCATCCCAAGCTCTCTCTCCTTGAATGGCTGCAAAGGCAGAAAAGGAGGGAGGGGTGGGAAGGCGGCCTGTTGGGAGGGGTCTGCCAGCCCTGGGCTGCAGAGACTCCCCAGAGTGGGGCGGTGGGGTCAGTGGACAGGGGACTCCCCTGGACAGAGGCTGCCTCCCAGTTGTTCAGCAAGAACTCAGGGACAGACACACACACATCTCAGGTCTTCAGGCCACACCTTCCTCCTGATCTCCAAACCCAAGCAGCCAACCACTTGCTGGGCATCTCCACAGGGAGACTGGGCTCACCGGGACACACAGGACGCCCCAGGTCATCGCTTCTCCTCTGTGGCCTGTTGCTGACAGGTTCCAGCCACCAGGTCCTGGGCACCCCTTCATCCACTGCTCACTGCAGGGTCCGCCCTGCTTCATCCCTCCTCCCACAGGCCTCGCTGGGTCCCTTGAGCTTCTAACTAGCCCTTCACCCATCCATGGGGCCCCATCCTCCCCACCACTCTCATCTGGGGCCCATTACACCCCGAGCAGAGGTCATCCTAGAAGCCGAGTGGGGTCACATCCCACGAGCCCCCACCCTTTCACGGCTCCACATTTGCTTTGGATGAATCCAGGCTCCTCGCTGCTCCCAGTCCCTCCTCCACGCACCCCACCCCTAGCTTCCCAGCTGCTCCTCCTCCCGGAAGCTCCCCTCTCTGCTCACTCCATCCACTCACTCCATCAACCGCCGATGTTTAGGAACACTTAGGAAGGAGGCAGACCACGCTTCGCAAGTTGGGGACTGGCTTTATTGCAGAGCCCCAGGGGCCGTGCACTCTCTGTAATCACAGCTGGGAGGTGGGCAAAGTTCCACTTGAATGAGTCCTCCATCTTCCTCCTCCTGCCAGGCCCAGTTCTGGGCAGAATCGGGAAGCCGTACTCACTCTCAGGTCTCAGGAAAACGTAGGCCTTGGTGTCCACACTCCAGGGCTGCAGCTCCACGCAGCTGCCACTCCCCTTTCCTGCCCCTCAAATCCACCCACTGAGGACACGGGAAGCGGGTGGGCAGGGGTGCGGCAGGCAGCAGACTTGGCCTCAACCAGGACTTTGCCCCCAGACAGGAATTTCCCCACCTTTCATTCATTAGTCACTAGACGTGGCCACGAGACTCAGCACCCCCACTCCAAGGGGGCCGCAGAGCTCAGCACAGGAAGGGAGTGGGAAAGAGGCTGGAGCAACGTCAAAGGCAGGCCCCCATCCGAGCAACAGGCTGAGCCCAGAACCAAGAAACCCAAGGCAGGCATGCCACGCTCCACCACCGCACCAAACATGATGCCCGCTGAACAGAATGCCAATCAAATAAGTAGTCAATAAAGACAAGAGATGGCTTCCCCCTCCCCGGGGAGGCAACATGGCAGAGTGGAGTCAGGGGACTTGAATCAGCTCTGGGACTGCCAGGTCTCTGCCCCAACTCTGCTGGGGGAAGTGAGGGCATGGGCTGGGGCCCCAGGCCCCAATGGTCCAATGCCCACAAGCTCTGCCTCCAGTCCTCACCAGGCCAGGGGTTCCCCAGCCCACACCCGCAGACAGTCTTCAGGGCCCACCACGCTGCCCACACCTCACTCACACCTGTCTGTCTTCGCCCTCCCTCCATCCAAAGGACCTAAGTGCAGCTTCGAGGGGCTCAGAAACCCTCCCCCCATGGGGAGTCTAGGCCTGGGGCTGGGGGGGGGCGGTGTGGAGCTGCTTCAGGCTGAGCCCCTGGGAAGGGAGGGAGTCCAATCCTGGACAGGGAGGCCCAGGTCGGGGAGGAAGCGGGGGAGAGGATATTCGGAGAAGATACTATTTCCTGAGCCCCTTTGGGTGACTCAGATGATAAAGGATTCTCAACACAGAGCTTTTCAATCTTGATCCAAATTACTATGGCGCTTTTTGTGTGTGAATATTTGTGTCAGCGTTTCCAGAAATCTCACATCGAAGCGCGTCAGAAAATTAAAGGAGAACTCCCAAGAGAGGCCTTCGCTACGGCCCCTCTTGCAGGTGACCCTCACACGGGCAGACGCTCCGGGGTCACTGAGTCGGGCGGGGCAGGGCCCGGCCACCTCCCCAGGGCCTCCTCTCCAGCCTCGGAGCTTCTTGGCTCCGAGCCCTCCTCCCCAGGAGGCCGCAGCCGGCCCTGGCCCCTGGCCTCCCCTTTGTCGTACAAGGCAGCCCGCACCCTCGTCAGCTCCCGGCCAGGACCTACGCGGGGAGGGGCGGGCAGAGGGAACCTGAGGGCTGGACACCTCCTGCTCTGGCTGGCTCTGAGCTCGGCCTTCCGAGCTGGGGAAGGCGGGACTTTCCAGAACCCTGCAGGCCTTGGGGGAGGGGGCCCAGAGGGACCGGACACAGCTGGGGGGGCGGAAGGGGGTGACGGTGACAACAGGGTCATCAGGGACAGTGGAGCCACGGTCATCCGGACAGCGGGGGCACCTGAAAGCACATCACACGACAGGGTCACGGCCTCGCGGCGGAGACCCCGCCCCCAGCCCCGCCCTGGGGAGCCCCTGCTTACCGCGACCCCTGAGCCCGCCCTCCCAACAGATTCCGCTGCCTCCTGGGGGCGGGGTCTGCAAACCCACCAGCAAGGCTGGGCCCACGTGCTCCCCCCCAGGACCCTAATCTTCTGTCCGTGCTGCGTAGCACAGCGTGGGGGGAGCGGGGGAGCGCGGAGCCGATGCTCAGGCGTTTGTTCTTCTTAATAAATGAACACCTGCGTCCACACGCAAAGTCCTGCAACCCTGCCTGACCTCGTCCTCCCCACCCCTGCCCGCCCGCCCAGCAGTACCTGGGGCCACGGAGGCGACGGTCACTCCCACAGAAAGCGCACGTACCAGATGGTCTCATTCTTCAGCTGGGGCCCAAACAGGGGGTTCAGCTGGGCCAAGATGGCGATGAGCCAGCTGCCAAGGACAGCACAGTGCAGGTGAGCGCGGGTGAGCCCGGGGCACCGGGAACTCCGCCGTGCACCACGGCATGACCCCCCAGCTGCGCATGGAGGGTCTGAGTTCCAGAGGGAACAGTCCCTCTGAGACATCCACACTGCAGCCAGCTCAGTCTGGGAGCGTAGGTTTGGGTTTGGTTTGACTTGTTGTTTTGTAGATTTATAAAATCCCTGTGTTGGGGCTGGACTCGAGGGGATTAGAGAAGAAGTAAGACGGCCTCCAGGGGCACAGAGGGAAGCCATTCTGACTTAAGATGGCTTAACTGCCTAGAGAATCCCATGGACAGAGGATCCTGGTGGGCTACAGTCCATGGGGTTGCAAGAGTCGGACATGACTGAGTGACTAAACCGCCACCACCAACTGCTCCTGAGAGAGGCCTCCCTCAAAACCTGAGCCTGGACTTATTCCTCAGTTTGGCAGCCAGGGAGATTTAAACATGGAGCAGGCTGACATAGGAGGACTGGGGAGTCACGGCGGGGTGTCTCTTTTGTAAAAGGGGAGGGGCTACCATGAAAGGCACTTAGAGAACACCTAGACCCTAAGGACCTGGAAATTGACTCCCTCACATGGTCTAGGCACTCGCATCTCTTGGTATGTGTTCTGGATTCCAGGACTTGGAATATAGAACAGTATTCTATACTTACTTACGTTTCCAAGTTTGAAGACCACTGCTCATCCAGTGGTTCTAAATGGTCAGCATCAAAGCACCCAGGGTCATGCATTAAAAATACAGATTCCTGGTGGGACTTCCCTGGTGGTCCAGTGGTTAAGAATTCACCTTCCAATGATAGGGATGTGAGTTCAGTCCCTGGTTGGGGAACTAAGATCCCACATGTGGGGCAACTAAGCCCCTCACACCACAATGAAAGACCCTGTGTGCTGCAACTAAGACCTGATGCAGACAAATAAACTTAAAAAAAAAAATACAGATTCCCACGTGCAGACTGTGAGAACTGTGATGTAGTGAGTCCAAGGTGGAACCCTGAAACCTGTGTCTTACGATCTCTCCAGGGGATTCTGTGCCCATCGGGTACAACAGGCACCAAGCGGGCCCCACTCACTCATGTCACAGATGAGACAACCGCAGCCCATGACATGGCAGAGCTTGTCCAGATGATACATTCAGAACCAGAGCCCAGAGTTCATAACTCCAGCCCGTTGCTCTCTTTGCCACTCCAAATCCCTCCTCTTCTGCGGTTTACAGACTCAGCCTTTCAAGAGCTGAATGTGTCAGTACCAGGACAGAGGCAAGAGCAGGGCTGGGAGAGAAGGAAAGAAGGGAGGACAAGGGCCCTCTCGGACTAGGAGCTGGCAGAGCAGTACTTACAAGAGGTAACAGCAGACAGCGGTGGCCACCAGCATGGTGATGATCACGCTGCAACAGAAGAGGATGTCAGGTCAGGATGGATGGAAGCAGCACCCTCAGAAGGCCTGGCCAAGGCCAGAGAAAGAGCTCCTGCTGCCAACCCCTTTCCCTCAGGCCTTCTTGATGCCCCCTGAACACAAGAAGGCTGAGATCTACTTGGGTAAGAATTGCTAAATGGAAAAGAAAAACTCCAAGTGTCACCTCTTGGGGAGGTCAAACTCGACCACATCCAACTTACATTATGAATCTTTCCCTTCACCTATCTCCCTTCTCCATCTTAGAGCAGTCGTGTTGGAGAAAGACACTGCACACAGCTGCACTTGCAGCCACCCACCATGGAGTGGTCTCTGGAATCCAAAATTCACTGGGCAAAGGGAAGGAAGGCAGAAGACCAGAAGACAGAGCAAGAAGCAAGGAGAACAAGGGTCATCTCTGAGGCAGAGTGAGCAGTTACAATGAGAATAGGGACTGGTTGCCTTGAGTCCACGCCAAGACTGGAGACAGAGGCTTTAAATGCAGCAGGAGAGACTTCAGTTAGAAGAAAAAACTCACCAAAGTGTGTACGAGAGTTGAGGGACTAAAACGGTTTACAAGGTGAGGCCATGGGACCTCAGCCCTGAGAATCTTGAAAAACAGAGGCAACACCCATATGCAGCCTTCAGCTGAAGCTAACCCTAACCCAAACCAGGTCCTATGACTTCTGCTCTAAAGCACTTGAGGTTGGTACCAGAGACATCAGCACCTGATCTATTCTCTCAGCATTACCAAGCACCATGGGCCAGTCCCAAGCTGGCCACTGGGGTCTACAGTGGTGAAAAGACACTCTTCCACCTTGAGGAACTTGTCATGAAAGGGTGAGGGCCCGTCACTGCTGAAAAGACTATGAAGCAGAAACCAGTGAGTGGTGCAACAGGTATAGAAACCTGCTGGGGGCCCCCAAGAAATAATGACCCTGGCTGAAAATTATTCCATACAGTATGTGCCATGCACTAAGTTTTATATACATTATTTTGTGTAATCCTCGGTGCAGCCTTAAAAGGCAGGAGTCATCATCACCCCCAGTGACCCAATAAGAAAGTGAGGCTTGAAGGGGTGACGGACGCTCAAGGTCACAGCTGGGCAGGAGTGGACAAGCTGCATCAGTGGCTTGCCACAGACTTTACCTGCCAGGGCGCGGGCGGCAGGGGGCGGCGCGGGCGTAGCTGTCTCCTCCTTTCTACAGCACGACCTTCTCTGCCCTTTGGCCCCGACGGCCCGCCTGTTCCCGGCTGTACGCGGCCTAGGGCGGACCCGGGAGGAGGACTGGGGCGCCGCGCGCCGGGACCAGTGCCCGCTGCACCGCTGCCGCCTCGCGCCGGAGGAGGGGTGGGCCCAGGCGCAGAGGGGTCCCCGGGTAGGCTGGGCCGCGCGCGATCCTTACCCGCGGTTGGGTCCTTTGGGCACGAACCAGGGCCCGGCGATGCCGATGAGGCCCCAGAACGTGGTGAAGATGACGACCGGGAGGGCGAAGGAGTGCGCCGTCATGGCCAGGGGCGGGATGCGGGTCAGAGCTGCGGATGCTCCGCTGGGTACCTGTCGCAGCGGGCAGGGGCCGCCGAGCATGCGCAGCAGGACCCGCCGCCCCGGGGGCTCGCGTTCTGCAGCCTGGCTCGCGCATGCGCGGCTGCTCGACACTCGGGGGTGGTGGCAGACTTTGACTTGACCCGCCCCGCCGGTTTCCTACAGGATTTACGGGACAGAGGCATATATGCAGAAAAGCTCTGCTTTATTCAGATAGCAAAAGGTTGAGAATCGAACATGGTTTTCTTAAACCGTATTTTGTACATGTTTGAAACCAGAGAAGTGGACCTCAGCAGACAGACTCCTGGATGGAGGGAACAGGCCCATCATCACCGGGTCCTTAGGTACTTAGCACCCTAGGAACTGAACCTGGGTTTGAGGGAAGCAAAAGGTCTGGAGGAGTAGACCTCCTCCGTGTCTGGCTAGGGCGGGGGCGGGATCCCCGCCTCCTGCCTGGTTTCTATGGCTATTGAACTCACGTTGTCGGTTACACTGCTGGTCACTGAGCTTATCAGCCCTTTGGGCAACACGATGGAGACCACAGGTGGGGAACGAGGGTGGAGGCAGGGGTAGGACTCTGGCCAAAGGCAGAGAGCTCGCTCCTTCCAGTCCCAGCGCCCTTCAGCTTGTTTTCTCCAGGCAAAAGTCAGCAGGCTCTCGAACAGCGGGGTCTCCAGGCCCTGGGGTCTAAAGCTGCCAGACTCTTGAAACAAACGCAGAGGCCAGCCTGGGCAAGGGGGAGTCTCACCAATGCTTCGGCCCCGCGGTCCTGCACAAAATGGTCAGTGTCCGCTCTTCCATGAGCTACCAAGAGGGGAGCCAGAGCACGGCTCTGCTCCTTGAGGAACCGGGCAGTGTAAACCCCCATGATAAACAGCATTTTCAGTAGCCCCCTGCTCAAGGGGCCCAAGTTTCTCACAGCTGGCACTGGAGGCTTTCTCAGAGCACAGGTGTGGAGGGGCAGGGGGCGTCTCTGGCGGGCCTCCGCCTCACATGGGGTTTGTGCAGTGGTGCTCGCAGGACTAATCTCTTGCTCTGAGGAGTCTTAAAGGATGACAGCTGCCACGGAGAGGATGATGCTGGAACGTCACTCAGTGGGAATCCCGACGGGTCAGGTGGGAGCTATAAAACCCCCACTTGAAAGGGCCCTTCTCTCTTCCATCCCACCAATTCATACCCTCGGCAACTGGCCGAGGGCAGACTCCTCAACTCCCTGGACAGGCCCATGTGAATGGGGCGGGAGGTCTGGGCTCCATCTTGGCTGCATGGACAGTAACACGGCCAGAGTTCCAAGGGCCCACAGTACACCTCAGCCCCCAGGACACAGTGCTGGAAGGGAGACAGTGCCACAGGTTAAAAGGCAGGAAGTGAGAACAGAATTCTTGGCTCAAAGCTGAAAGAAACAGGAAAGTGATGGCGGTAAGGCAGAGTCAGGAACATTGGTTCTGCCCACAAGGCACTCGGTACCATCAGCTGCTCTCAGCACCCTTCCAGGGTCTGCTCGAGGGTCAGACTGCTTGGGCCTGAAGCACAGAGCAGGAACCC